CCCACGAACACCGCGAATATCACCGCGATTCTCACCGCGGTCACGATGACATATCTAACAGGAGCAGCAACCAGTAGTAACACCACCATCATCGACGGGACAATCGTACAGATACATCTAACATTGCTACGATAGCGCATGTTCGCGTTTGTTGGTTATCGTCGTTGAAAAACAGCCGATGAAAGAGGAGAGAGTTTCCGTGACTCGTGGTTTAAGTAACAGTGTTTCGAAGCGTACGATCACGGCGTAACGCGCTTTTTCGTCGTACATACAAGTTTCATTGGTCGAGTCGCAGCAACGAGCAGCAGCAGCAGCAGCAGGTTTTGGTTCCGAACCTTTATAGAAGTTCCTGAAGTGCGCGCGCGGGGTTTTACGCGTCTGCCACTCGAATGTCGAGAAACGAATGAGTGCGTGAATCGTGACAACATCGTGTCGAAGTGTACGGAGAGGAGTATCCTGAGAGAGAACGAGATAGAAACCGTCTCTCTTTCTCTCACATCCCATAGAGGCCGTGGTCGGACTTTACGCCGTCGTACGCGCTTCTCCCCTCTCCCCGTAATGGACTGTTTCTTTCTCCCTCTCTCTCGCTGAAGGCCAATTTATCTATCCCGTCTCTGTCTGAGTCTATACCATTCCTGTCTGTGCGCTGGCAGAGTTTTCACTGGCGCGACACGACACGGCACGGCACGGCACGCGCGCACACACGCTACCGACACGTAAACGAAAAACGAAACGAAACCGGCTGCTGTCCAGCCGAAACGGGAGTGTCAAACATCCGAGGAAAAATCACGGGCTATGGGAACAGTGTGTGCCATGAACTGAAAAAACAGTGCGCGACCGGTTGTCTCGTGCTTGGCCCCGTCGAAAGAGGATCTTGCATTTCATCCGGTGCGTGCTTGTGTATCCCTTTACACCAAAGGAGGAAGAGAGGTTAGGTTAGGCTAGGACTCCGCGTCACCCTTGGCCACACTCCGTCCTTCTCGCTCTTTCGTGCGATTCTCCTACCTCTCTTTTTCTGGCATACGGCCGAAGAGGAACGCGCAGACACGAGAGGCCAAACCGACTACGTACACACATTCACACATAGCCAGGACAATTGGGGAAAGAGGAGGAAAACACAAATGCCGATCGCTGGTGGAATTCTAGTCGCTGGAACCGCGGCTCATTGCTGGTCTTCCGCCGCTGGCATGCTTCGATTCCTCGCTAGACTCTCAGGTTAGCACGCAATCCATCTCTTCTATCCGCTGGACGGAACGTCGGAAACGTTTGACGGCCGCCTTGTCGATTATTTCTCGTTTCAACAAGGAAAAAGTCACGCCGCGCACGCCAGGGGAATCGCGACAGAGAAAAACTAACGACGATCGTCGTCGTGATATCGTTGCCTACGAATCATTGGCATTCGCCAATAAGAATCATCGATAACAATTACCAATAAGAATTCTCGCGTTTATAAGTTGTATACATAATGTTAAATCAATCGTTGCGAACTTTTGACGCATCTCGAATCGAGAAAATGTCGTTCTCGTTTCTCGGCTGTTTCACGCTATAAATATTATAGTGTATAGCGTATTATTACATATGTACATATGTATTCGTATTTCGTCTTTTTCCCTGCGCGTGTGCATGCCCATGTCTCTTTTCCAGCATCGACGACGCGTGCTTTAGTCACACTCTCTCTGCATCTCGGTAAAAATTTCGCTATTTTCTCGGTCCTTGTCTAGTCGGGTAGGCGGCTCGCCGCCGGGGAATCCGTGCGGTTTCGATTCCCAGACTTTCGAGTCAGTGCACCGCTACTGCTAGCTGTTAAATGGAAGCGTACAGCGGACGACGTAGACAGAATAAGAGGAACAAAAACGAGAGACGGCCCCGTGTAACCGCGGTATTATACGAGTTCGCGTGTATTCCGTGCAGAGAGGATTTGACGTATCGACTCGGATTTCCATAGCGTCGCGTAAAATTAACCTTCCCCGCTTCTCACTACCAACCCCTTTTCCTCTCAAATCCAAATCGTCGATCGCTGTCATCGGTTTAATACGTGTCAACGTGTTTCTCTTCCTACCTTGAATTTCATTAACTATTCCCCCGCTACCAATTTCTATGACTTTCTTTCGTAGCATTAGGGCTCTTTTCAAGCGTCTCTCGTCGGCGTATACACTTCCGGAACACGGTAGAAATAAATAAGGAAATAAGAAAGACAAAAATAGTGGAAATAATAGTGGAAATTATTTTTAATTCGTCTATATTGCTCATTGATCACACTTTTGATATTTTATTAAATCTTATCTATAAAATGCTTATGTAAACAGGAAGGAAGCATTTCGTAGTTCTGCTTTACCTGATCAATCGGTTATTTGTATCGATTACGCATACTGTTCAATGAAAAAGATCAGTCATAGACTACACGCGTGAAAACCCATGAATTCATGCGTTTCTTTATCGAGGTCCGTTTTACCCGAATTATTCTACGTTCGTAATTTGCTCTTAAATAGCAAATTGCACTCTGCAATTCACTGTTCGATTGATCGAGCATCGTTCAAGCGATTTATCGTTGAATTAGACCGGGAGCAAGAGCCGAATGATGATAATATAGGAATTCTGTGGTAAATAAAGAATTTTGTCACGGAGAGAAAGAGAATGGCGGTGGTAATTATTTGGATTACGGCAATCCGTGGCCGCGTTGTGAGAATCTGTGTCCTCTTGACACGCCGCAGCGACACGGCAACACCGATTCTTCTCATATCGGTGTTAATTAGCGGCCAAATGATCGCTATTGTCGCCAGTGTCGCAACGATCAGCGTCGCGAAACCAACTCTTGTCTAATGAGTGAATAAACCAACTAACTTTTATTTCTAAAGTTGCCTCTCCTTGTATGCAAACAAAAAAATATTTTCTCTTGTTCCAAAAGAATTTTTCAAACTTGCTGTAACTATTTTTTTTTTTATACAACAACCATTTTTTTTTTTTGTAAATCTTCTTACGTGCACGCGAAACCTAACGTCGAAACGAAATCTATTTTCAGACTGTCGCGAAATTATATGTAGTTTCTGAAAGGAAAAGTATAAATCTTTTCTGTAGCTTTAAAAGTCGAGGAACTGAAAAACCTTGGTCTTACAGTCATCGAAGCACTTTGTCGTGTGTAATAATAGTAGATAACCGAAAGTAGTACATATGTACGTAAACAACCTTGCATATTTCTTCAGTCCTCTGATAAATTTAAACGCATGGATTAACTGTTAACGTAAGGTCCTAAAGTATTTCAGCTGATACGAGCGTTGTGATAATTTCAAGACGTCGGCAGTACTATCCAGCTTTAATAATCGACCAATTCAATGGAAAAATGATAAAAGTGCATTTTTCTTTGGAATCTTATATAGGAAAGATAGATAAGATCAGTATTTATTAAAGAATTTTATTAAACGTTTAAACTTTAATATATATAATGATATTATATTACTATACACATTTTGTAAATACTATAGCAATACTTTAATATCCGGTATCATATAAATGATTCTATTGATGTTCAACTTTATCGACTTTTAATTTTCTCAAATTAAAAATTTCATTACCTGTATCAGCAAGGTTTTGATCAAAACTCAGCGTAAAGAATCTTTTCGCAGAAGCAAAATAAATCAGAATCATTTCGATCAGTACGTGTTATCGTTGCTCAGAAGGAGACCGTAGCGTGTCTCGTTTCGATAGGTTTGTTTATCTCATATCTGACTCGTCATCGCCCAATCTATCGATCATGAAATAAACACCGTTTCATCGTCGTTAAGAGAGTACGTTCATCAAATTTCCAAACCAAACAGATTGGTATTTATTCGATCGAATAGACGAGCATACGATACATTTGCAAACCTCTGCCCCCTCCTGCTACTATCCGTTATACATTAATTCATCGACGAGTGAATGAGTAACCTCTAGGCAAAAATCGGCCGCGAATACATCAAAATATAAATAGAAACGTGTCTGAGGACCGCTGCTGTGTGTGTCGGCCTCGGGTACCGAGTCAGTACTATTCGAGAATTTACCTACAGTGAGGTCTGATCCATAAGGAGGGAACGTTCTGATGTAAAGGAAACGAAAGTGTGAAACAGTCATAGAGAAAGAATATAATAGAGAGGCGGTGTCGTATCGGTAATATTGGAAACGAGTGGTCGGATTTTGTGCGCTCGCATCGAGCGCATAAATATGTGGAAGAGATTCGATGCAAATCGCAGGAAAAGTGAGAGTGGCAATGAGTCAACATCCGCGTCTGCTGTTTTCTAGCCATCGATAAATTTCGAAAGGCGTATAGTTCGCTTTCGTACTGATATTTTTATTTTCCATTTCATCGCTAGTTTCTTCGTTTCTCTCCTACTTTTTCCTTTTCCAGAGGTTGTCGTTTGGTGGTCGTTTTTTTGGAATGAGGAAAAGGGTTGTGAAAAAGGGGAAACGAATTCGATAGGGCAGGATGCAGACAGGAGCAGAGTGATTTTCTTGTTAAATCGCTTGCAGACGCTTTATCTTTAGAAGCCACGGACAGACAGTGGCACCGGTTTTTTTCTCCTTAACGGAAATAGCTATCATTCTATACGCCTTAGAATGAACCGGCAATACTCGGCAAAATTTATTTTCGACGTGTAGGTTTACGTATCCGCCGTCTGGTCGGAATATCGGCCGGGGGATCATCAAAGGGGGCAAGAAACCGGAAAATTCGCTAAATTTCGATGCCGTTCGAATCGTCGAATAGACGTTCCGTCGTCTGGTGTGGCGCGTCTGTCGCGTCCAATATGGTTTCTAATGCTTCCACAACACCGGTCCGCCATTCGAAAGATATAACAATGAAAAAACGCTGATCTTCGCAGGTGGACCATTACCAGTCAAATTGATTGGTTTTACAATTTCATTTGAAAATTCCTACTTCGTGGTGTATTTTTTCCGTAATGTAACTTTCGTAACGATAACTGAAAGAATAATTTAATGAATTTTATTTTGTTTTTTTTTATGTATTCAAACTGAAAATAATTTTCTATCAAGGCTACTTATACCAATAGCAGTCAAAATGACTAGTTCTACAATTTTACAAAATATGTCAACCCTCGTTCAGGGATGATGGATTAATAATACCAAAAATGTACTACCTAACGTGGAATTCCTTCCGTAAAAATGCAATAAATCAATAAATATAAAAATATTCTATTTTTTAAAGATCAGCCATTTTCACTGGTTTTCGTAGAAATAGCTTCGCGTTAACACTTTGACTGCCACGCTGAAAACCACGGGAGTATTTTTATTATTCAAAGCATACAATGACAAAATAATAATAAATTGATGATGTAAGACAACATTCTTCCCCAATGGACCGTTTATCTTATTGGTGGCCACGAGTGACCACCGTGGCGCCGTGGTAACAGTTGACAGCGACATATTATAACATGGCTTCGTTTATTTCGACAAACCATTCGCATTCGTTGTTTCGTCGTAAGCAAAGCGTGCAGAATATATCGTTGAAACGTGTAGAAGATATTAGTAAACAGTATTTGCTCATTCTATATATAATAGGAAGGTATGTTCACAATTCTAACCTCAATTATATGATTATAAAGCAGTATTTACGATTATTCTCTAAGGTGTGTTTATAATAATATTCGTAGATTACCTCTCAACGATATGGATGCAAACACAGTGCACCGTTAGATGCAACATTTGTTCTCATTTTTTTTCATTAATGTTCCAATAAAAATGTTTAATTGTTCAATGGGGCACTTTTTATTTCAAAGTATCTTCTATTCATTGGTTATGTTGAAAATGCCCTAGCTGTCAATTTTCATACAATTTTTACAATTGTAAGAAGTTGAAGCGCTCCGGTCACCAATGACCACACAGTGGCGTCACAGGAGAAACCGTGGCGGGTCATATATGACCCACGTGACAGTCAAACTGTTAACTATCGGTAGTTCGAGTGTTAAAATATTACGAAAAGAATAGAAAATAATGTCTGAGATAATCTATTAGCTATACACTCTATGACTCTTCTTCTTTGCAAAGTGAAATGGAAATTTATTCTTTACAAAAGACGTATTCATCAAACCTGGAGTTTCTCTATCGCAAGAAAAGTATTCTAATTTAGGACAATAAAGATCAGATAAGTCTCAGCAGACTGCCAAACAGTTTCATAATTTCACTTTGGTGCCGGTTCG